AATACGAAAACAGACCGCAAAAAAGCCGGTGGCCTAATAGAGAAAAAACCCTCTGAGGAAGGGAAAGGACAAGATAAAGAGCCTTTGGATGAGGCCTTCTCATTTTCAGAAAGAAGGAAGAGGTGCAATGAGTCGGATAAAAACGATAAACCAGTTCACCATCACCACCACCACCATCACCATCATCACCACCATCATAAAACAAGTGATCCCCAGGAGCAAATATTGTTAGTGAGTGAGTTTGTAGAAAAAGATTTTTCAGAAGGTAACTCAAGAGCAAACGAAAAAGAAGCAAAATGCACCAGTAAAAAGGAGTCTGGAATTGGAAGATTTGTGCCTTTCAGAAAAGATAAAAAAGGAATGAGTGATGATCAAAAGGATAAGGATAAAGATAAAGAAGAAGAGAGAAAGAAGAAGAAAGAAAAAAAGAGTGTTCCAGACTCTAATCTTGCTCTTTCCACTGCCAATACAGGGCCTGAAACTCTGCGAGTTGATAGTAACGAAGTGAAGAAGAAACCAAAAACAACGAGCGCTCATCGGAACTGGAAAATTTTCACTTCTAGTTTAAGATCCCGCGTCAAATCTCAGGAACATCTCGCGGCTGGTTGTTCACATCAATCCAGCAAGAAAACATCAAATCCAGAGAGAAAACCGTATCGGATTCTGGATAAAATTGATAATAGCAGTTACATAATAACGTATCCATACTTGTCAGTGTCTCAAACGATTAGCATAGACCCCAACGCTGAAGTTTTACCCAAGAAGAAGAGAAAACCGCTGGAAAATAGAGAAGAGTCCAGTTCTCATTTTGAAAGCAATTATCCACGTGAGCGTGTCACAGGTGGTCGAGTGACCAAGATTGGAACCAATTCTCCAACTCTGAATGATTTAAGTAATAAACGGAACCCTCAGTTAGATGTTGATGATCGGAATGACAAAGAAATGAGAGTTATTAGTTATGAAATGTCTCCGCAAGAAATACGTGAAACTTCCAAAACGTCGGGACAAAACGAAAAGAATAATATGGATAAAGAGAAATTACAGGTGAGTTCATTTTCAAAAAGTAGTGGAACTGCAAGCTCCAAAAGTGATAATGAAAGCAGACATGAAGGCATCGAAAAAGATGTTTGGACTGATTCCCAAAATTGCAAACGTGAGTATGTGAGACCGATTCAAAATAAACGAAATGAAGTCAATAACACAGATGTAACAGCCGCGACAGGGAGAAATTCTGAAATACTTGTTAAAAATAAGCAGCCATCTTTAACTTTAAACGAGCCTTCAGCAAAATTCAAAAAGAGGACTCTATTTAACGAAAAGGAGGGCTCTGAAAAATATTCGGAGAAATTGAATGTAGAAAGAAAATGTCGGGCAGGTGAAGATAATGAGAAAAAGTTCGAGTTTGTTGAGAAGGATCAGAGTTCATATGATTCATGCCCGGCCACAAAACTGGGGATCATAAACAGATTTTCCAAAAATTCAACGATGAAAAAATCCACGGGGAAAAATGAGGATTTGGACAAGTCCTCAAGTCGCGTCACTTTCCAGGAGGACGAAAAATGTAAAATTGAAATCGATGATCCTTGCGGTATGAAGAAAAGTCTTTTTAGCAAAAAAGATAAAATTCGAATGAACAAAAAAAATTTCTCTAAAAGAGACAGAGATCTAAAACAAAAGTCTAAGAGGGAGAAAAAATTGCAAGAGCTGATAAAAAGTATTGCAAATTTACCGAGTTCTCAAATTCTTGAAATTTGCACAAAAGTAGATGACCCAGCGAAAGCAGCAAGAATGAATGCTTTAATGCTTGGCGCAAACTCGTCGAAAAGAAATGAAAACACAAGTGTGCCTGAAAATAAATCCGATAGTTTTTTTAGAAGCTCTAAAGAAGACAGAGAAATCCACGATCAAAAGAGGAAAAACACACTAAAATCTACAGATGAGGATAAAAAATTGAATGGGGATAAATTTCCGCAATGCAGTTTATCAAGTTTTGGATCAGAGTCGCAACCTATTTATAATAGTGAAAATAAAAGAGTGCAAGCGGGAAAAAAGGATGATTTTAGGACAAATAGCAATGCGTGTGCTCCTGTAGAGAGTGCGTCTGAAAAAACAGAATGTAGTTTAATTTTACCCCAAAAGAAAAATTGTGGTTCGATTGGGAATAAGAAGAGAACACCCTCAGGCTCCAGCATGTCTCAGGAAAGATCTTTTTTAAGACAGCCTGGAAAATGGTGCACTTGCTTGAAGTGCCTGGGCAGGAAAGAGCCCTCCTCTACAAACCTAACAAATCCCGATGAACTTGCTTCAAAAAATGGGGGAAAATTGACCAGAGCGGAAAACAAATATTTGAGAGCAGGAAATATTTCAAAAGATACATCACGCTACACGAGAACGAATTCTGAAGGAAGATCAAGTCTGATGAGAATGGTTGATTTTTCTGCACAAGCAGATTTTAGCGAATCCTGCTCCCATACATCTGATGACTCGTCGTCATCTTATGATATCGACACTTGCTACAGAACTCGAGCAGACTATAAGAGAAGTCACGAGTGCCTCGATACTACAGAAACTGACACTAGACTTTTTTCTGTATCCGAAGCTACATTCTCGGGTAGTGAACTTACAGATCGTGCGCACACCAAGTGTCGCGCGAACGACAAATGCTCTAGCCACGCATCTGAGGAGGTTTGCGATTTCCGTGAGGCGCCCAGTAGGGCAACGGATTTTGAAGAGTGTGAAAGTGGACAGATCTATTCCACAAAAAGCGATACAAACATTTCATTGTCGGATAAAAATTATTCAGATGTTTCTTGCCGACTAAGTCGTTCTTTAAGTTCAGTCTTTCTCAAGCGCCGAGTAAAAAGTTTATTCAGCGTGCCCTCCAAACATCAGACCTACGTCGCTGGAAAACTCTTCATTGGTCCATCTATAGATGACACGATCATAAAAACGATATCTCTTTTTAATCAAATCTTTCCAAGAATCAAAGAAAATTCAAAGTCTAAACCATCCTCTTGCAGCTGCAGGTGTTGTGGCTTGGAACGACATTCTCGCGATGAATGACGGAGTGAGGATGAGGGAGACCGAAAATGCGCCTTCAAAAACTATTGCAAATCTTCTAAAAAAACATCTGTCCAATACGTCAAACAAGAAAGACTGACAAATAATTCAACAGAGCTACAAAGTTAGGAAAAACAATAGTTTAATTTATGAACCGTAATGCACTCCACTGCGGAAAAAAAAGACATTGTATCTAGAGTCCAGACTCTTGAAAACATTGACAAGAAAAAACACTCTTGATTCAATCAGATTTTTGCTTAAATCAAAAGGAAATCCGCTCAAATTAAGAGGCTTGGTTCTAGATTTAAGCAAAAATCCGATTGAATCAAGAGTATTTTTTCTTATCGATATTTTTAAGAGTCTGGTCTCTAGATTCCAATATGTTTTTTTTCCAGTGTAATGCATTAAAGTTTTGGGTGTCCTACGAAAAAGGATTAATGTATTTTCAGGATTTTTCCATGAGCTTTATCTATCTGACCGCTCTGTTGTACTTTACCTCAGCACACCCCATGATCAATCCGCGTTGTATTTTGTCTCTAGTTATTAAAATTCCATAAAGAACTGAATGTGGTTTGACAGGTTCTAATCCACTCGATTTTAAAATTAATTTCCTTCAAGCTTTAATCTTGATTTGCGTTCTCTGTTTGAGTAAACCCTCATTCCTTCCTTCGCGTATTACTGAGAAGGCTCAAATTTCCAGTTTGCAGATGTATTTTCTCTACAATGATAGGGTCCTCTGAGAGGGATTTTCAAAACAACTTTGTATCAATAAAGTGGGAAGGAATATTGATAAAATAGATTCTTAATCGAGGAAAACCTTTCATTATAAAACTTAATGTAGCGGTGTTCCTTATTAATAACCATGGCCAACAATAATGATATTTTTGCCATTAAGAGATCACTTTACCGATTCTTTTGAAACTAATACTTTAAGATTATCGAGTAATGTGGAAATATAATAGCACTGATTATGGCTACCATTAACTAAGAGTCCATACGGAACACCACTGCTTTGGTGATCATGACTACTGATTTTTCTCAGTAAGATGCAATTTAGTAAATCTATGTATAAATGGATTTATTTGATTGATTTCAGGGTTTAAAGTTTTAACAAGTGAGTTTCCCATTACGTCGGACTACCAAATTTTAAATTTTATTATTATTATTTATTAATTTTAAAGGGTATTGCAATGAATTAATCGGCACCATAACTATGCGGTGAAAGGAGAGCCAGTGCCTGGCATGTTGCTCTGCAATCTCAATGGTGGCTACACAGTTGTGGTTGTGAAAAAAAGATCTAGGCGCCTTCAATTATTGAATATGCAATGCGGACAGCTGTGGAGCTCGAATAGTCGCATCGCAGCGCCGCGTCCATGGGTGCATAAATTGCAGGCCGAGCGAGCCGCAGCACAGTGATTTTCATACATATAACTCTGCATCGTTATTCGCGATTTCTTGAAATACGCTTTTCGATGTTCAGTTACAGTGATTTGCAACCGGTTTTCATATTTCAATTCGTCTAAAGTTATTTATCTCTCTTCCATCCACATTACTTTCCCTTGTCTCCCTCCATTTCCCTATTTTTCTTTGTCCCTTTGAGAAACCGAGAAATTGTTTTAAGTATTTCCACAAATTAGATAGATATAATTGCAACTACGAGCATGAGAATGATGTAATAATAAATGAGTATATGCATAAGTAATACAGCGACTCGGGACAATTTTCAAAGTAAATTATGGAGTGTATAATGTAACTGCTGTGACGGTCTATCGGTGTCTGCACCTTCTACTTAACAGAAATCGGCACTTTCGTCGAATGACGGCACGAACTTATAACTAGCCGTGTAGTTACTTGATTTCAACACATTTTTCATTCAAGAAATAAATAAAACGATTAGGGATTTTGAAAAAAAAATGGATATTCAATTAATAACTGCTTACCAGTGTTTGATTTGATACAAGTGTTCGGATGGCTAGACTTGTTGCGTTAATGGCACTTATTCCACCCCATTCGTCCCTGAACATCAGCTCTACGCCTTTAACAAGAAAGAAAAAGAAGTAAATGAAGCGAGAAACAGCTTGTATAACTCAAAGGTAAGCACATTAATTTTTAGTAAAACTTTAAGTTTCTTCGCACGCAAGTTTGTCAGCTTTCCCTGTAAAGAAGCATGCAATTCTAAGAGGGGAGAAATCGGACGAACTTCGGTTAAAATATTACACATTGGATCGCTGTTAAATGTGCGCGAATTAAGTCATTCTGATACATGTTTCCATATCAAAATTTCACGTAAAACTCGATTGGTGCGATGAAAATTACTAAAATCAACTTCTAGCCAGGATATATTAAACGTTTTTTAATGCGTTAATTCAAACATCCCGCTCATGAAAAAACAAGTCTACGTGAGTCAAATCTCGCACTAAACGTTACCGTAACAGTCTCTGCGTTATGAATTTAAGGCAACTTCAATCTCACCGCTCCAGCTTGGTTGTGCGCGTTATTAGCACTTCGAACAACGTAAGGCGGGGAAGAAATATCGCTCGATTAAGGAGCCCGCAAAAACATGTTAATGCAGGTTGATTCAAGTAGACTATTGTTTTTCTTGCGAGCGGTGTAGTCTAACCAATGTAAACTAAAAACTTAAATATCCTAGATCGGAATTTATTTTAGTAATCTTCGGCGCGCGAATCGTGTTCTATGTGAAATTATGTTATGGAAAGCATGTATCATAATGCTTAAACTCGCAACTTGTCCATTGGTCCATTGCGAATTTTAACTTCAATCTTTGGACGTGTAAAGGGTCAAATATACTGCCGTGCTAAGGAAGAACGCCGTATGAACATTCGAGAAAATTACAGCAGATAAAGTGTTCATTTTCGAGGAAACTTATGAATATTTTCTCTTGAAATTTTCAGGCACTTTAGATCAAATTATAAACAAAATTATCTGAGAAATAGGCAGAAAAATATTCAAGAATTTTCCTGAAAATCAGTTATTTGCCAGAGGAAATTTGGCAACGCCTGAAGGCTTATACGGCGTTTTTCCTTAGCACGGCAGTACAGGAGGGAACCCTACTTTCGGAATTCAAAATGATAATGCTAATTCTTGAATTGTGTTCATTTTTAAGCATAAAGCTTGACGTAACGTAAAGTAAAAGTTCAGTGAAACGATTTTTCAGTGATTTTTTCTCCAAAACGAATGACTGAAGAGATTTGTGCGGAAAAAACATAGAGACGACACAAAAGAATATAACTCGCTGGGTAATTTTATTGAATGGACTTAAATTGTCCTGCCACGAGGAAATGAAACTGACTTTCAATTATTAAAGTTAAGCATCATTCTTCTTTAAAAATGTTATTCTGCTTCCGATGATTACACTACAGAGCTGGCGGCAGTTGGCTGCGATAGACAGTTTTGCAGCGCATTGACGCAAATAGTGTAAAGAATAAATACGTTCATTGATTGAAATCAATACCATAGAGATTGCTTTCGAGTCTCGGGATGTCTAGTTATCTCAGCTGGCGGAAATTAAACTATTTGGATATCCCAGTCGAGAGAACAAATACAGGCACGAACTAATGAATGAAATCGATTAGTATTCTGTGACCCTGCGTGAGCTCTATTCACATACCCATTTAAGCTTTAACCCTTTTTTCCTGTTTCTTTTTTTGTATTGCATTTCATTTTTTCATTCATTTTATTTGGTTACCAAAATCGAACCAAGCGCAGAAATCTTTCTTTTCATCACAGAAACTATTTATAGATTTTACTAAGAGTATACAAAGTAGCGTATCCCCAAAATAAAATCTTTTTTCCATAAGCCCATACTCGTATATAATTATACTTAAAATTCAGAGACTATATGGAATCAGGTGAACATAAGGGTTTTCTTACTCACTAAAGTAAACAAATATTACAGAAAAACAAATCAGTATAGTATGATTGTCTCTGTTGAAATACACATGTTTAAATGGGAAATACCATTCTGGGACATCACTTATGGGTACATTTTTTCACTTCCAATTTTATTTTCCTCTACTTTTCCACTTAAAAAATAATTTTAAAAAAAAAAAAAATTAAAAGGCGTTAAATAGTTTTGTCCTCTGTTAAAAAGATAAAACAACAAAATTAGGCAACGAGAAATGTAGTTAGACTGAATCCGGTGAAACTCTCTCATTTGTCCCTTAAAATTTGTCCACCTCTTTCTTATTTCCAATTGTCTCGTTTCCGTGAAAAAAAAGAAAAAAACACCTCCTCCATGCCCCATATCGACGGCGTAAGTCCGCCATCACATATCTCCTTTGCGGTGTCTGAAAGTCTCCGCCTCTATGTTATGTTTTTAAAGGAGAACGAATTGACATCATTCCTTGAAGTTTTTGCAGAATTTTCTTCGCACAGAAAAGAAAAATCGCGGCAGTTTTAAAGATTTGCCGTTGAGTAGCTTTCCATTTTAAAAAATGAAGTATGACAGGAATTCTGCGACGTCGCAAACCGAGTTATGTGATTGCCGACTTACACCGTCGATATATAGTTGGGATCCTACAGAAACACTTTCTCCCAAACTTTTTATTTTCACTATAGAGGTGTAGCGGCTCAAAACTTGCCACGGCACCACACCGATGAAAAATAAATGCATCCCACAACAACTTCCCTATGAGTTTCACTTGATTTAGAGCTCTCGCCGATAAAGCAAAGGGACATCCCTGGCGCTTCTCCCGTAATACCGACTCACAGTGGATTGAGTCAATCAGAGAATTCGGACGTGAAATTTTTTCCTACAACTGCAAATTTTGATGTTTATTTCGTCTTATTTTAATTTTTAAGAGATGTTTCTACAGGAAAATTTCACGAGAAAACCTATGGAACCACTTTAGAACCTCAAAGTTGTGTATAAACGGAGTTAAAAGCGTTTAAAGTTTACAAATTTTGTCCGACCTCTCCTGTAGGCTCGATCCACCGTGCGACCGTTTCAAAGGGGCTCAATTGAATTTTAATAAATGAAGAGACAGGAAAGGGGAGGCGCGCAGAGACTTTTTCCGAGTGCGCGGCTATGACAAGCTCTAGCGACGCGGCCTCGAGTGCTGGGTCTTCAGGTCGTGCACATTTTACATGGGCTTAAATGAGAGAAAAATCCGATTTTTAGCACTGTCTGGCAACGGTGCGGCGAAGCCCCTGACCCAAAGCCGCGAATCCCGCCCCCGCTTTGGCCGGGGTCATTTGTGACCGCTCTGAAATTGCAGTGATCAATCCCGGCTCCGTCGATCCCTGGCAGCCATTCCAGGTGATGAGACCTCGCTCTTCCGCTCCGTAATTCCGCCCGATTCATCGTCCGGTCCGCTCCGGTTCGGCCGCCACCGTCGGAGCTGCACCGAAAATTTGAGCTGATTGATTGCGCTGCACTTTGACACCGCTATGACCCACTATCTCTCTCCGGCCCCGACCCCCTCGCCGTGAGTGTAATATTGCCGCCGGCAGAACGGCAGCCGGACATCGCTTCATGTCAGGTTGCCGCTTCCGCACAAAAATTTCGTCGTTAACCAATCGTAACGCATAGTTGACCTAGTCAATTAAAGAGGTCGGGCATGAAATTTTTGACGAAAACTGCAAATTTCGGTGTTTATTTCGTCACATTGTACATTTCAAGGGGTGCCTTAAGTCGTCACCTTCCAGGCAAAGTATCACAAGCGCCATGCGACGTTTAAAAATTTCCGCCGCCATTTTATTTTTTTACAGAGAAATTGTTCATTGAAGCTGCCCGAAAATTTCACTGAATTTTCTTCGTGCTGCCGATAAAATTTAGTGAAATTTCCAAACAGATTCAACCAACAATTTCTCAGTAAAGAAATAAACTGGCCGTGGAAATTTTTAAATGTCGCATGGCGCTTGTGATACTTTGCCTGGAAGGTGACGAAGTAGAAAATTTCACGAGAAAACCAATAGAACCACTTATAGAACCTCAAAGTTTTGTATAAACGGAGTTATAAGAGTTTAAAATTTCTAAATTTTGTCCGACCTCTCCTATCGACTCGATCCACTGTGTGGTGTGGCGTGCTTTGCGATGTATCGATTGATCGGTCATTTTAACCTAGGGAAAAGTATCGATAAACAGGGTGTTTGCAGCGAACAACTTAATAATCGATTATTTACCACAGCTTCAAATGGGGAAATATCGATGGATCGCAAAGCACGCCACGCCGTTGGTAACGCAGCCTGATTGTTGAAATTTTATCTTTGTTAACCGCCGCACGGTGGATCGAGTCAATTGGAGAGGTCATACAGAATTTGGAAACTTTCAACGCTTATTGCTCCCTTCATATAAAACTTTGAGATTCTGAAAGTGGTTCCATTGGGTTCCTCGTGAAATTTGCTGATAGGAGCACCCCTTGAAATTTAAAATGTGGCGAAATAAAATCAAAATTTGCAGTTTAAGTCGAAAATTTCATGTCCGATCTCTCTAATTGACTCGATCCACTGTGCTCCACGGATGAGACAAAATTATGGAGAGTTGAGATACGTGATCGGTGAGCTCAATTCTGCTCTTGACGGAATACAACATACAGGTGCAGCCGGTAAGATCTACCATCACATCGCGTACTAACGCATCGCCCAGCGCGCCTTCAATTTTGTAGACGCAACGCGGACATCCATCAAGCACGAATAGTTGTATCTCTGCGCCTTCACCAACTCCTTTCCTTTGCTTTTTCATGCTTTATTCTCGTGTTTTGTTAGTTCCGTTTGTGCTCAGTGGTGCTTCAAGAGCTAAAGGGGCTGAGAAATTTCATGCAAAATGAGAATGCGGATTTTCGCATTGAAATTTTAGGCTATTTTCATGAAGTTTTACGTAATTTTGTGTAACATTCCACGTGAAATGTTAAAAGGCGATCTCCGTAAAAACGTAAACAATATTGAGCAAATTTGATTTATGTAGACACTTTTTTTTCATGTGAGCGAGTAATTCAAAGTTCTCGTAACCAGTGCTAAATAATTTAGTAGAATTTGGTTCAACAACGCCATTATCAACAGATTTGGTTGGATTTAGCCGAGGTGTTGAAGTGTGATAAAAGTAATAAGTTAGTCAGTTATTTAGTTAATTTTATATATGTTTTAATAAGAGAAACTAATTATTTTTATTACAATTCAATACCTCGGCTAAAGCCAATCGAATCTAATGCTAAATAAAAACTTTAACGTCTTCAAATCGTGTTCGACTTGAAATTTGAGGAGAAAACATACATCAACATGCTTTAATTCACACTTTGTCCGATAGTCCATTCCCATACTTACATGCTTAATTGAATCAGTGAGTTCGAAAACACACCAACTTGGTAACTTGAAATTCCTCAATTTTCATAAAAGACTGTCAATTTTTATAAGGGTCATTAAAGTTAGCGCATCTGTTCCAACTTGGACCTTTAAAATGCCCTTCAGTGCTTGTATTTTAGCGCCAGAAATCCCTTTCTTACACTAATTTCTTCATTTACTGTTCGGTTTCGTGTGTAATTTTGTTTCTTGATTCTTTTCATTTTTCCAAGTTGGTGTGTTTTCGTTTTCACTGATTCAATTTGAATCAACCTATCATAAGATACAAAGATGTCATTGAAAGTCAACATAAAATCAGAAAAATTAACTCTACGAAATAAAAAATGAGACAAAATAATTAAATTCTGTCATTCGTCCACTAATATCATAAAGTGAAAATCAATCAATGGCTAACCAGAGATCCAGGAGCCATTATGTCGAAGAGGCGTTAACTCATGATTGAGCACATCTTGGAGTCGAATCCTGGCCCCTTTGATCCGGGGCCCATCATCCGGTGGAGTAAGCAAAACCACTGAAGTGACTATCAACCCCAGGACCGCAGCGATGACCAGCATTGCGATGATAATTCCGCGCCAGTTTCGCTGGTTCGGGTTGCTCGACACCAGGTCCTGTAAACAAATTTACAAAAATAAGTTACAACGTGACTTTCCAAGTACTCGTATATTCAAGGTATTTTTGAAAGATTGTCATCATCTTAAAAACCATTTATTCCGAGACCCATCCGTTTTAACAGTATTGCATTTGAATATAGTTGTGAGATTTAAAGCGAGCCGGGTGTCAGTCATCTTTGGTTCAATTTTTTTTTTTTTTTTCAGTTTTTTGTCTTATCAAATGTTTTATCCTCAGTTGTAATTTAAGACCAAGTTTCTAAAATCTCATCATTATTCCATCAGTTATGGAAAGTTTTGTGGTGCATGGAGTAATGCAATCATACATCCTGATAACGTCATTCTTATGTGTACCCAAAACTTTGAACGGGGTTTTCTCAAAACAACATTTTTTTTTACCTTAAGGTACACTTGTCTCAGGATTTACTGGTTGTATTTTAAAGAAAAAATGTTTTCTTCTAATATTTACTGCTGAAATTGAGCGGGTTTTCTCTCATTCTCTTTAACCCTTTGTTGCATGAGCTAATTGTTGATTTTGAAAAGGAAATCTACAACGTGCAGTATTTTTTCGACAATAGAGTCAGTTGGAATCGATTTTTGTAGTTTTTTTTAAGTCAGCAGATCAGACTTATAATGTTTCCCAAAATTCATTTCTTGCTTTGATTCACTTTAATACTCCAGCATAGAAATGAAGCTGAAAACCATTTGTTGCTTTCATGAAACGCTATGTAATAAAGAGTTAAGCAAAAAGATCAGTCGAAAGGGCGGATTGAGTGAATTTTCTTCAAACAGTCAAGAAAATTCCGGCCTTTCAAATTTTTAAAATCCTATTGACCAAAGCTAGAGGAAAGTCCACGGTATAAAAAAATTACAAATTCATCCAGTAGAGGTAAAAGAAAATGCACCCAAGTATCATAAAATTTTACAATGTAAGATATGGGAACTCATATGGCTCCATTTAATTGATGATTGATTGATTGATTGTGATGTTTTTTGTATGCCGTATAGTCCTGTTGAGAATACGCACAACCTCATCCATACATAACGAGACACCCATAACTACCTACATGTTCGACAGTTTCGCAGTTCTTTCGTTTTTTGTCATGTACTCCCGAGTTCCGATCAATTGATACAACTATTTCAACTCCAATGTGTGTAAAATGATATCACGCGAAATTGAAGGCGCGAATAATTTCGGACTACTGGAGACTGATTAAAAAGATATTCTCACAAGCCCACGTCGTATCGCGAATCGAAAAACGTCAAAGTTAGGATGATCAAATTCTCAATGAAATTATTCTAATGGAATACTTTCATCAGAACGTCGCTAGTCTTATCAAGAATAAACCAATCCAACATTTTTCATCAATAGTTTTTTTTCTTCATCTTCTTCTTGTGTGTTTTTGTTTTGCGCAATTCAGTCTCACTGTCCTCATATAAGTTGAACACCGCGAAAATTTGTTAAGCCCTAGGGTTAGCGCAATAATTTAAGGAGTTTATGAGAGAGGCAGACTCTGATGTGAATACGTAAAATACAACTAAGAAGGTTGTGAGGCTCATCTACTTTAATACGATTTTAATGAACACAGCACTGAGGAGACCGCGTTATCGCGTTCACACGGTGCTCCGACAAAGACTTGACTTACAATTACGGACGATTTAGGTTCTCAGCGCGCGACGTAATTACCTATTAACTTTGGAGGGAACTAAGACGTACAGAGAAATACCTTAATTTATTTCCCTGCAAAATATTCGTTACTCGAAGCCAAGTATGCACCTATAAAAAACATTTCTTTAGCGGCGAAAATGACCGTGATTCAGTGACAATAATAATGGTACCAATTTTAATTGATGTTATAATGTAATTTGTGATCACGCATATCAATTATTTCCAGTGTTAATTTAAAATTCGAACTTAAATTTTATAAATCAACTTTGAATCTAAATTTCATACTCGAAATTGACTTAAAACCTGCGATTCCCTAAGTTATTACCAAGTATCAAATCATAATCACGTCAAAGGAAATTTCTCTCCGAGGAATTCATATTGACACGGATACCTACATTGATTGTCTGCCCAGAGTTAATTTAACAGAGCTACCTAAAAGCTTACATGAACGTTCTTAGATCGTGTTTTAAGTAATTAATCAAACGCTTCTAGGTCATTTATCATTGCCTTGACTGTATTTTGCGGCCGAAAGACTTCAAAAATACTCAGCTTCAAACATCTTAGAAAACATCAGATTTACAAACATTTTCTCTGTAAAACATGAAACGAAACGCCTCCAATTTTACAAGAAGTAAAAATGTTATGTTGTGATTTTTAAATTTCATGGTGACTAATACAAATAGTCACTGATTAATTTTTCATAGATGAGCATGTTTGGTGTTTATTATTTGGACGTATTTCTGTCAAACGGAACTAAGCGCCAATTTGAGTTCCTTATGAGGAATTTAGAATGCCGGATAGCGCGTTCTGTCGAACGGAACTAAGCGCCGTGGAAAAGTATTTCGAGTATAGGACGGAATGAGCCCGACCGACGCGCGACGCCCGGTTCCGCCGCAAATCCAAGCCCTCCTCTACCTTCCTCCCTCTATGGCGCTTAGTTCCGTTTGACAGAAATACGTCCATTTGTGAGATTGACGAATATTCCATTGTTTCATGCGAGTAAACACTATCTCAGTGACAAAAAAATGAGCAAAAAATCCCTCGGACTGTGAACATAGTTTCGCGCACAGAAAAATTCACAACATTACACATAATCGGTCCTTAGCCCGAGGAATAAGCTGGTATAATTGAAACGCACCGTATTGTATTTTACCCCTGCTTGTGATATATTCCTGGTTTTGATTTTTTCTTCGAGCGTTAAATTAATGCAGTGTAGCGTAGCTTTCACAAAGAAGTTTGTAAAAATACAGGTAAGGATAATTCACTTACTCATTCTTATTGCTCTAAATTATAAAAACAAAACAAAAAAAAAACAAAAAAAAAGAAAAAAAAAAGAAAAGAACTTTATTCAATTGAAGAGGGTTTCAACTTCCCTACCAGCTCCCTGTCACGATAATGCTTTGCTATAGGCAGGGAACGGGGGAAAAAAGAAACCCTGTCTTGCCACGCCTCTGTGTAACACCAATCCCTTCTCGTAAGATTGAGCTAAAAGATTAACAAATTACAACTGACGTCATCGAAAAAATGGAATATCATGTTACCTGAAAAAGGTTTTTGATACCAGAGAGCGTTAATTGAAGTATAAAATTTCGAGGCGCTCATTGTTGATTGAACGCTTTCACTCCGACTTTCACCCCTCTATGAACAAAACGTCGCTCCTCTGACGTAAGGGCGTATCTCGATTTCCACTTGAGCCCTGTTCTCCATATAAACCTATGCTCTCTGGGGCTCATGTGCAAATCGAGATACGCTCTTACGTCAGAGGAGCGACGGAAAGAGCCCATGGGCCACTTGATCCAAAGTAAACTTCCACAGATCTCTGTACAGCTCTGACTGGCAGAGAGCCAAGCTTTACTGTACGCTAACAACTGGCTCATCACCCCCCAGCCTACAAGCCTCCACTTCGCAATTCTCGTTTCTTACCATTGCTTCGTAAATTTGTAACTAACTAATTAAACCTAATTTATGAACATTTATTGTCAGATTTTTTTTATGCTGTTGTTGTAATTAAAAAAATGAAAATGTGGAATGCATGAATTACGAATGCATCCTGCAAGAAGAGTTGAACGCAGGGTTTGAAGACAGCAACTTTTAAGCATACTTGTCTAATTGTTCTCCTACAACTTTCTCACCCTCTCTGGCCCATCATGTTTATTTTTTTCTTATTTTTTTTCTCCGTCCTCTCTCTTATTTTTCTTCAGTAAGTATTTTAATGGTTTAAAACGCATTAAGATTCATAGAAAAGAAAGAAAAAACATGAAAACATAATAATTGGAAGGTTCCGTTTAATTGTTTAGAAAAATTATTGGATATGCTACATTTTAAAACGAATAATTTTTTTAACCTAGACGTGTAACATTCCGAGCAGGTCATCTGGAAAATGACAATCACAAAGAGGAGAGACGCGATGCTATTTGCCTCCAGATGACATTCTTATACTATTGCTTCATGTGACGTCATAGTTTCTACGGTAGCTCAGAACGCTCGTTTTTCATATTGAGTCATCAAAAGAACGAATAAACTGAGTGAAAAAAAAAACGTCACGAACTAAGTTAGACAAGCACCACTCGTTGTTCAAAACTAAACCAGATGTTTCCTCGAGCTGGCAATTCGCCATGCATGAACAAATTGCATCCAACCAATTATCTCGAGTTAAAGTCAGGACAAGAAGTATGGGCGAGTGACACGGATGGTGGTAGCTTAAAATTCGGTCATAATCAGTTTTCGAATAAAAGGGTAAGCGGTCCCGGGGTCAGAAAGAGCGAAGCCCTTAATCCCAGGGGAAAAATTAAAAAATTATCCACCTCGAGAATTATCAGAATCAGATACATGTACGCCAAATCGTGAAATTTTGCGAATATTTCCTTTGGAGATCAGTGCTCAGTACTGTTCAGCGTATGAGTAAGAAGCACCTGCAGATTTCATATATTTTTCGAGTTTATTCTGAAGATTGCGCTATTAGCTCTCTTGGATAAACTAAAGTTGGAGAGCTTTGAAAGAAATCGAAAAAGCAAATAACGATATATACTTACTTTCTCATGAAATCTAAAATATTCAGATGATCGTTGCAAAAAGCATTGTAATTCATTCAACGTAGCAAAAAATATGGAACAATACCAAAAGAGATGGCCAATCATTCTGGTTATCCACCTCACAATGCGAAATTGTGGAAACTGGAATAAGCTCCAAGCTCCAATTTATGATTAAAATAGAGGTAAGGAAAGGTAAAAGAAAATGGGATTTTCCTTGACATCTTGAAAGATGCGCATGTTTTTCACGAAAATTTGTATTCGACACTTACACACGCGTTTTTGGCACAGTACAGGTACAG